GAAGGAGCTGGGTCTCTTCAGCTTGGAGGAGACTGAGGGGTGACCTCATCAGTGTTTACAAATATGTAACGGGTGGGAGTCAGGAGGGTGGAGCTAGGCTTTTTTCAGTGATATCCAGTGATAGAACAAGGGGCAATGGGTGTAAACTGGAGCATAGAAGGTTCCATGTGAACATCAGGAAGAACTTCTTTACTGTGAGTGACAGAGCACTGGAACAGGTTGCCCAGGGGGGTTGTGGAGTCTCCTACGCTGGAGATATTCAAGGCCCGCCTGGACAAGTTCCTGTGTGATGTACACTAGGTTACCCTGCTCTTGCAGGGGGGTTGGACCAGATGATCTCTTGAGGTCCCTTCCAGCCCTTGGGATTCTGTGATTCTGTGATTTCAGGATTTCTACCAACATAAGTCAAGCCTTATGGCTGTACCTTTGGACTTTGCCTTTGCGAATACTCTGCAACATGTGCACATATCCCTGCATAACTATAGTATACTCCCTGCATTGAGGTTTCTAAGTGCACAAGTCAAGGCAGAACTGCTGCCAGTACAGGAAGCAAACCCTATGAGCTTCAATCTGGGCAAGTTGCAGGTTGTGGGTCTGATGCCAATGTACATGGCATCAGACCCACAGGACACCACTGACTTCTCAACTGGCTTGGCCTGGGGAAACTTTGCAGCAACCCTTCCCCTTTATATTCTTTCTTATTTGCACAAATTGTTTTGTATCTGATATAGTGCTAAGGAGGCTAAAAACCAACCAAGTGTGAAAGTGTAACAGGAGCTGCTAAACTTCTGCACTAGGAAATGAAGAGTAAGAAAGGAAAAGATCAAGAATATGCAAAATTACATTTCCACCTGGATTTCGGTTTCAATCAGATCAAGAAATGACCCCTACCTCTTCCCCCAGCACAGCTATCAAGCATTCAAAGCACAAACTCCCAGTGTGTTGCCTGAAAAGCCCAGGCATGAAGTTCATCCTTTAATTTGAGGGTTTGTCATTTGACTGGGGGGAAGTAATCAGGACAAAGCCCTGGACCATGCTACTCAAAACATGACAACAGTCACACCAAAAATCCAAGCTGGCTGCAAAAAGCAATTAAAGTATTGTTTACTATTCCATGACAGTTAACATGTTGGACTGACCTTTCATTTACCATTTAGTACTGAACATTAAGCTGCAAAATTACTCATGCTTTGCATTTAGCACTGGCATCAAAACTAACCACATTGGATAGCTATTCCCACAGCGAGACACACATTCCCTCTGCCCAGCTGTGCATATACTTTTATAGGCCTTGTATTTGATATTTAACACCACTTCCACAGATTATATTCATCCGTTACTATTAGGAATTATTGGTAACATGGCTCCAAAATGTAAAAAGCATATGTAAAATGTCAGGGTGACACAGCTGGTAAAATTATGTGCCTTCCTTCCATGCTGGGAGAGAGAAAAAGAGAAGGCTGGTGTATGCCCACAGGTCCCCATGGCAGCTCCCAGCCAGATGGCAAGTATAGAAGCTACGGCAGAAAAGTTTCGTTTGCTCCCTTTCTAGCTGCTTACAGCAGCCATGTTATGAAGGGAGGCATAAAATGTGCTTCACAAGAGCCTGGCAGACCAGCAGTTGGAATATTCTCTCTGAAATGGGCATGTTTCCATTCGACACCTTCAGGCTGAACTTGGGCAGGAAGGACCTGGAGTTTCCATTCCCTGGGGTGATGCTCTCATGGAGAGGCTATAGATGAAAGGGAGAGATAAAGATGCCAGCAAAGCACCTTTGCCAGCATGCTTTTGACTGATCTTAGTGCCATGACTAGTTAAAATTATGGTTATTTCTATCCTTGGCTGTGATTTGCCTGGCCAGACACTTGGCATGCCCAGGACACCGCATTTTGACAGCAGAACTAGGATTTTTGGGTCACGAATTGCCAACACAAACACAGGTCTTTTCCATTCACCCCGTCCTCTTTCCAACTTTCACTCATAGTGCTGTACTGCTGCAGGCACTGCATCTCAAATACTGGAGGCTTTTTGATTACACATTTCTAAACCTCTTAGTTGTTACATCATTTTTGAAACAGAGTAACAGGCACTATGAATGGACAGTCTGTGAATACCAGAATAATATTCAGTTCATACCCAGACCAGAACATTAATAAATACAAATATATTAAGGGATTCCCTGACACTTATAGGGTTTTTTCATATTCATAGTGGCTATTTATATCTAAATCTCTATTTTCTGTACTGTGATGGAAGCTATCTGGCATATTCTCCTCCAGTTCAAATATTCTCATTGCAGATTCAAAAGGGCAAATTTTTAAAGACTGCTCAGCATGCTAATTATGACAGAATCACCTCCGATTTGATCTCGCCTGCTGCTTTTTCAGCATTCCTAGACAGGTGCCTGGTGCAACCAATATGCTAGCTCAATGGCCAAAATTATTATGAGATTACTGATAGAAGGCAACTCAGTGTATTTTAAAAAGCAGTATTACTTCCTGAAGAAAGAAGCAGCCTAGCAAATAGGGTTGTAACTGTATTTAATGCATACTTTGCTTTTAACAGCAATTTGCCAGTTTAAACAGCATAGACCTTACAATGCTTAATTAGTGAAGAGGTTATAGTGCTTATAAAGTTGTATCTAAAATATACCTTATTCATTCTCTATTGAACAACATTTTTAAACAGCCCAATGTTATAATTACATGCTATACAGCAGCAGCATGTTCAGCGCACTGCAGTTAAGGCAGTGTCAGCATTCTCATCATGAACATTTTTCAGGGTTCGAACACATCAGCCATAAAATTACAACACTGTTTGAAAAAATGACATCCCAGAAGTGCATCCTGTATTGACTTCAGTCGAATAAGAGTAAAAATAGTAAAATGCATCTAATAAAGGACTCAACCCAAATTTATTTTGGATGACTGTTGCCTTTGCACAACATGCTCAAAATTTCTAAAATGAAACTTAAAAGAAGTCAGCAGAGAGCACAGTCTAATCAAGTTTCAATGAATCCAAGTACAAAGTGTTGTAAAGTGGGTGCCACAGATGCACAATAACCACCTCACACATACTACACATTTTACTGTACACAAGGCTTCTTCTGTGTAAATATTTAGACTGGCAGGTAAAAGCAGTTCTACCACCAAGTGAATAATAAAACCTACCCAACTCCACTTGCATACACTTACTGGTTGTGATGAAACTAAATTGTTTACCAAGTCAGCACACTGGCTACTGAGGTAACATATTATTGCCTATAGTTAGGATAGAAACATCTGAATTTTTATGCCGTTCATGCTGTGATAATTCAAGAGGCATCATGCAGCCCACCAAGCTGAAGCCATTTGTTTAAGTAAAGACAGATGAGGCAAAATATTGTATGGAAAGGGACCCAACAGCTTCTTCAGTGCAATGCCAGAGCCTGCTTAAAGAAACTTACCCTTAGTTCACGCCCTAACAGTTTCTTGGTTTTATTAATAAAATGCTTCTTTTTGGAGTATGGTTTGATTAAAAGAAAATCTCTTGTCAGGGATCTACTTTAACATGTTCTACCTCTGCTTAAAGCAAAGTGCATCTCTAAGTGCTCTCCTGAAAAAATATCCCACAAAAGTGTGCTTCAGGAGTTGAACTGTCATGGAACTGTGACAAGCTGATGAAACTTTGGGGAGCTGCAGAACCAAGTTCTTTATGCATCATTTGCTTATTTATTAATTTTACGCTTCCCCATTTGAGAAATCCTCCTTCTGTGACCACCTCTTTCATAACAATGCTTTGGAAAGTACTCTACTGCATACTTTTCGGATTTAGAGACGAGCATGTAAGACTGAAAGAGTTTCCTATTTCAAGCTTTCATGTACAACGCATACACACATTTATTAATAAAAACTTGTCTATTAAAACAACATCTGTTTGTTCTTTGGACCAACTCCAGCCTCCATAGGTGACTGTAATATGTCTTACAAAACTTTCATGGAAGATTTAAAAAATAGTACTTCAAGACAAAAAAAAAAAAAAAAAAAGAATATATTAAACATCATCAACATAGATACAGAAGGGGGAAAACAAAGCAGGGATAGCCCATTCCAAATTCACTGCTGGCACAGGTTAGCAGTGTCCTCTTCAAGTCTATTTTCTGCCTTCTTGCACAAGCTCCTTTACCTCATGGCCTTAAAAGGATGCTGCAAAGCCAAGACGAAGTTCCATGTCTGCCCCCAAATCTGGGTCACACACTAAAAATCCTTCTTCTTAAGGGAACAGATTAGCATGCAGTCTATTTCAGCTGTGTCCTATCAGACTTTCTGTACACAGGCACCTGTAAAAATAGGGTAACAGTATTTCTCTACCTCAGAAATACCTTTACTGATGTAAGAATAAATGCATTCATGGCTGCCTGGACCACAGTCACAGCAAAAAAGACTACACAAGTACCTAAAATACAGCTTTGCCTCCTTCAAGCTGATCCCTCTGAACAGAGCAGGTAGCAGACAAGAACTATCAACAGTAACATTGCTAATGGAAGATTTTACGACACCATACAGTAGTGGCTGCTTTAGTTCAGCAGAACTAAGTTTTGCAATAAAAACTCCCTAAGTTGTTTTTTGTTTTGTTTTGTTTTTTTTTTATAAGGGCTCAACACAAGTCAGCTTAAGGGATTGTAAAAGAATGACCTGAATTGTACTCTGTTACTCAATAGTTTCAGAACCTGTCCACACCTGATGATGGCCCACATAAGTTCATATACAAACATATACACTAGTTGTACCAGGGGAAAAAATAGCAAATGATTTCCAGTCTCAGTTTCCATTTCTGTATTCTGTGGTCCTGGACACATACCACAGAGAAATGAAATGCTACAGCAGTAACCCATACAATCCATATTAAGATTCCTCACCCACGAGCAAGAACGATATTGTGTTAATAGGCAAAAATCAGTTACTTACTGCATCAAAGCTCACCTGTAACCATTAATTTCACAAAGATATTATGGGCTATCATCATATAAAGAAATGATCTTCATTCCTAAATTTGAATACTTTGTATTTTACTGAGCTATTAAGAATAAATTCCTCAAAACTTTCAAGGTAAAGTGAAGCAAGAAGTTTCAGCTACAGAAATGTAGTGCAAAGGTTCAGTTTGGCACTGCAACATTATGGACAGACAAGAATTTATGGTAAACTGTCTGGATTTAGAAAAAAGAACCCTATAATTGAACCAACATTGTCAAATGTATTGCATACTATTGTAACTTCACAGTAATCAAAATCAGACATCAAGATTTCTATAGAAGCAGCAATCACAGATTGCAGTAAAGTATACCACTCAAGGGAAAAAAATTGCATTTTGGCAATTTCATAGTCAACTGTTCCTTATGCTCCTCCAACAGTCATTTGTCATTTTTCCTGCTTAAAAGGTGCACACTGTTTCTCTTCAGTCCTCATGAGATTTCTCTGCAATGACTTTACATTCATACTGCAAAACAGAAATTGACAAAATTAGTCAATTTTATTAATTTACATAACTAATGAAAAAGACTGCTATGAGGGTGATTTTTCTACAAAATATATGACAAAATAGCTTAGCTCATATTTCACCTAGGTAAGTTTGGTCTCCCTAAGTCCTGTGCACACACTGTTGGCTGCAATTTGTCTCTGAGCAGTGGAAATAGCTGTTCAGAATTATAGGATGGCCTCACTTCTCCCTAAACACAGGAGCTCTTATTTAGCCCCCGGTTCTGAATGGCCTAGTAGCATGCAACGAAGAGTGTACAGAGCAAAGTCATGGACTGTGCTCTGAATCATAATATGAATGATTCACTAACTAGATCAAAAGCAATGACTACTGTTTCTACTTTACTCTGCATCTGTAAGTCAAATAGCTGGTTAGTATATATGAAGGAAGGAATGTGCATTGGGTTCCGTGGCAAGGTTTTGGCAGTGAGTAGCTACAGAGGTGGGTTCTGTGAGAAGCTGCTAGAAGCTTCCTCCATGCCTGACGGAGCAACACCACCGGCTAAAAGATGGACCCACAACTGGCCAAGGCTGACCTCATCAGGAACCATAGTAGCACCTCTGGATAACACAGTTAAGGAGAAAACACTGAGCAACAGCAATTACAGACAGAGGAATGGGCCTATGTGAGAGCAACAGCTCTGCAGATACCAGGGTCAGTGCAGAAGGAGGGGAGGAGGTGTTCCAGGTGCTGGAGCAGAGATTCCCCTGCAGCCCACCGTGCAGACCAAGGTGAGGCAGGCTGTCCCCCTGCAGCCCATGGAGGTCCACAGTAAAGCAGATATCCAAACACAGCCTGTGGAGGACACCACGCCAAAACAGGGGAATGGCCAAAGGAAGCTGTGATTCCATGTGTGCCTGTGCTGAGCAGGCTCCTGGGGGGAAGGTGTTTTTAAGATTTGGTTTTACTTCTCATTATCCTACTCTGACTTGATTGGTAACAAATTAAACTAATTTCCCCAAGCCAAGTCTGTTTTGCCAGTGACAGCAACTGGTGAGTGATCGCTCCCTGCCTTTAACTTCAATCTATAAGCCTTTCGTTACATCTTCTCCCCCCTGTCAAGAAGGGGGAGCGATACAACAGTTCTTGTGGGCAGCTGGCATCCAGCCAGAGTCAACCCAGCACAGAATGACACGGAGACTAAAATTTACTAGAAGGCAGTCAATTCCCCCCTAAAAACTTACCATTGCCAGCTGCCTGCCAATATTGCCCATAGTTATTCCACCAGCAAAAAATATACATGGCAACCAAGAACGAACGTAGAGGAAATCTGGAGATGTGTATCTGGAAAAGAACAGTCTGAGCTCAACATTGTGTACTACACAGAATACTCAAATCACATGATACAAATTGACAGTTTAAAGTATTAGGACATTTCAGCTTTAAAAGAAACATATTACAGACATATCCAGTGATAGGAAAAGGGACAGTGGGTGTAAACTGGAGCATAGGAGGTTCCATGTGAACATCAAGAAAAACTTCTTTACTGTGAGAGTGACAGAGCGCTGGAACAGGTTGCCCAGGGGGGTTGTGGAGTCTCCTACGCTGGAGATATTCAAGGCCTGCCTGGACAAGTTCCTGTGTGATATACTCTAGGTTACCCTGCTCTTGCAGGGGGGTTGGACTAGATGATCATCTGAGGTCCCTTCCAACCCTTGGGGTTCTGTGATTCTGTAAATTACTTACAACAAATAACAAAGAAGGCTTCTTATTGATTATAATGCCATTTGTTCTACTAAGAAAAGCATGTTACATTGTCGGTAAGGCAGCAATTTTATTGAAATAAGCAAGCTCCAACCAAGTGTCTTACTTATAAGCACACCAAAGCTTTCATGAATAGTCTAATTTACACTATGCTCAAAATTGCTGGCAGCTTTGGAAATCATGTCAAATTCTACCCCCTTCAGTTATTCTAATTTTACATTATAACTTCAGGAAATAATGATTTAACCTTAAATGAGTAAATACTTACTGATAAACTCCATTGTAGACCAGAAACTGGGACACCAATGTGGCCAGGAAAGCAATTCCTACTCCAAGACCAAAGCCACTTCGTGATCTATCAAACGTCCACCACAGTCCAATTGACAGGGCTGCTAGTGTGAGAGACAACTGGATATTGTTGGCAAAATCCACTTTCTGTGTTGATTGTTAAGGATAAGCTTAGAAATATCATATATGATTGTAAAGCAGTTTTGTCTATTCTGCTTATCATATTTTGGCTCAACAGAAATAAACATACCATTTAAAAAAATACAGCATTAGCTCTATTGGCTACCACACAGCTATGAAGCATATGAAAATAAGCCTTGTAAGTGTTGCCAATATATCAGGAAACAAAAAACTGACAATTCTTCACATTTTAGGGCCTCAACCCTGTACAAAAGAGACTACTCACCTACCAGACAAAGCAGATGTTTTATACAGACATACAATGCACATGTTACTGTTCAGAGTAAGGACATCTCATCCTTACCTGGTCCTTTATTACTCTAGCATGAAATCTTAAATCTAGCGTTAAGGCTCCTCCAAATGACAGGGATTTACTGAAAAAAAAGGTATTTGTGACTCCTACTTAATTGCAGTTTTGTTTAATTTACATGGTAGTTTACATTCAGCTAAACATTAAACACACTGATGTTTTCTATAAAACAAAATGCAAAACAAAATTCACGTAAAACAACACTGAAAATCAATTTTGTCAACCCTGTGATAAAAGTGTGAAGTCACACCAGGTATCTCTGTGGTGTTCCACATTCTTCAAAGTATTTTTGAAATACTAACTCATCCTCACTTCTCCTGTCAATAACAAATTATTAAAAAGTATGCTGTCAAGTTTCATAAGCCTGAAAGCAAAGTTATGGGATGACAACATAAAAACACTGGCCAATTTTCTCACAGAGACCTGGAGAGAGACCCAGAGGAAATGAGAAAAGTTCAACTAATTGAAATAATAATTGCAGGATAAAAATCAATAGCATCAGGAAAAAAATGTCAAACAAAACCAAAACCACACCAAATACGGCTACGTGCAGAACTGGCAATACGAAAAGTAAGTGGTCTGGTGAGCTGTCAAGTAGGACATACAGACTGTATATAAATGATGTCCTGGAATATGTGTAACAGCTGTTAGAAGCCTCCAAGAAGGTTTGCTGTGAATAATCTGACCCATGCAGCAAGATGGTGTCAATTCTCGTTTATTTCTTAAAAGTGGTGAAACTGCATGTGCTTACGCAACACGTACAGTCCAGGTCAGGGAGACCACAGGACCAGATTAATGTATCTTTGGAAAGGAGAGCAAGCTTAGTGACGGGCAGTGGGTATGACTCTGAACCTTGGCAGTTTCAGCTCATCCAACCAAACCAGACAGGATGGCTGGTGGGAACAAAACCAAACAATAAAACCCATCTCAAGGGCCAAGTCACCTATGTAAGAATTCAGCCAGCTCTCACATCTTTCACTTACTCTTTTTTTCCTGAAAATGAGAAAATTCAGTAGCATGCAGTAAGAACTCCTTAGCACGATTTTTGCAAACTGTGTTGGAGCTGACACTGAAGGAGATTATTGTTACAGAGATAATTGAATTTCCTTCTAATTAGTTTACAATAACCCAATTTTCTCAGATAGATCCTGGTATTACCTGACAGAGGCGGCAGTGCAAATAACTACACAAAACCACTAAGACTCACATCCAGCCCACACGAAAAGCACCCCATCACCCAACATGCCCCTAGCTGCTTTCATGGGAAGGGATACCAGTTTTGAGCACATTTTTACAAGAAGTATCTGAGTATCTACACAAGTAGGAGGAGCATAATGTGCTGCAACACACTGACTGACTTCTAATTGCTCTTCCTGAATGACCACAGGAATGGTAACTACTCTCCCAGCATCAAAGCAGTATTTACAGAATGGGGTAACAAAGCCTAGGTGCTTTGTGTAGTCCTGAGTACTACCTGATCCTGAGTTTTCCTCATGCTTTCGAAGTGCATATGTTTCACTGATGACCTCAGTACTGGGCTTCGACCTCTTACTTCGGTGTTAAAAGGACATCAACCGTTAGAATCACTTAAAGTACTTTTCTGTAATACCTACCACACAAATATTTCATAGAATCACAGAATGGTTTGGGTTGGAAAGGACCTTAAAGATCACCTAGTTCCAACTCCCCTGCCATAATAAAGAAAGATTGTAAGTAAGACAAAGCCAAATATTGAGACATTTCTAATGAAAAGATTTTTCAGAATGAAAAAACATGAAACTTACCACCTACAACACTGCTATGACAGTTTAACACTAACATATATTCGGTGTTTCCCTTGCAAAAATGCTGCACATTATACCTTTAACAAAATTCACCATGACTGACTATGTGAGCTTTGTTTTAGTGGAAACCCATTTGTTAACACAGATTTCACTAGAATATAGGATACAGCACTGGCATGATTTATTCCCACAAAGACTGCTACACATCGCATTACACTGGACCATTCTCTCTTAAATTTATGTGGCTCTCCCAGATGTCTGTCCATGCATGGGTACAATAACCCAATCACAGCTGTGGAGACAGGAAAGAAAAAAGGCATAGAAGTTAAAGCACTAGCAATATTTAACTAAAGTAATCTTTATTTAGACCCTGACAAATATTGTCACTACCAAAACAGATCTTTTAAGGATACACAGTACAAAACATACATTGCAAAAGAAAGGAATTCAAACAATTTAACTATTTGAAAAAGACGTGTAAAACTTCAGCAGCATTTTTAACCACTGCAGCAGTGACCTGGCAAAAGGAGCAAAACAGAGAGAGTTTGAACTAGGGGCAGAGGATTAAAGAACTCTGCAACCTACCAAAATCTGCTGTCTCACACTGTAGTTCAAAACCAGCAGTAATAGCTTGCAGGCTGGCACTTTTGAAAGTAACATATAATAGTGGTAAAATAGTAAAACATATAGTGGTTATGGTTGAAAGCAACCTTAAAGCTCATCCAGTTCCAACCCCCTGCCATGAGGCAAGGATACCTTCCACTAGACCAGGTTGTTCAAAGGCCCATCCAACCTGGCCTTGAACACTGCCAGGGATAGGGCATCCACAACTTCTCTGGGCAACCTGTTCCAGTGCCTCACCACCCTCACAGTGAAGAACTTGCGTCCTTGTATCTACCCTAAACTCACCCTCTTTCACTTTAAAGCCATTCCCCCTTGTCCTACCCCTCCATGCCCTTGTAAAAAGTCACTCCGCGTATTTCTTGCAGGCCCCTTTAGGCACTGGAAGCTGCTCTAAGGTCTCCCTGGAGCCTTCTCCAGGCTGAACAAACCCAGCTCTCTCAGCCTGTCTCCATAGGAGAGGTACTCCTGCCCTCTGATTATCTTTGTGGCCCTCCTCTGGACTTGCTCCAACAGGGTCATGTCCTCCTTATGTTGGGGGCCCCAGAGCTGAACACAGTACTGAAGGTGGGGCCCCACAAGAGCAGCTTAGAGACAAAGATGTTGTGTGGGACAACGCCAAACATTTTGCACAAGTCCATGATGATGGATTATGTCAGCTGCTCTTCCCTTAACCATCCCCAACATAATATTGTCATGTTTTTCCCTTTCCAGTCAGTGGGAACTTCACTAGACTGCCACAACTTCTCTAATATTGATAGTGACTTAGTCACTTCATCCACCAGTTCCCTCAGGACCCATGGATGCATCTCATCAGGTCCCATAGAATTGCATACTTTCAGGGTCCTTACATGGAGTCCTTACATGGTCTCAAACCTGCAATTGCCCTACAGTGGGTGGTTGTTCCTCACTCTCCCAGTCCCTGACTTTGCCTTCTGCAACTTCGGCAGTGTGGCTGCAGCACTTGTCGACGAACACTGAGGCAAAAAGTTTATGGAGTACCTCAGCCTCTCCATATCCTAGGTAAAGAAGGCGCCTGTTTCACTCCAGAGAGGGCTCACATTTTCCCAAGTCTTCTTTTTATCTCCAGTGTACCTAGAGAAGCTTTTCTTGCTGCCCTTGACAACCCTGGCCAGATTAAATTTTATCAGGGCATTAGCCCTCCTAACTTGATCCCTGGCTACTCAGACAATTTCTCTGTGTTCCTCCCAAGTGACTTGTCCTTGCTGCCTCCATCTGCTGGCTTCCTTTTGTGCTGGAGTTTATCCGGGAGCTACTTGTTCATCCACACAGGCCTCCTGGTATTCTTGCTTGACTTCCTTTTTTATCAGGATGCATTGCTCCTGAGCTTGGAGGAGGTGATCCTTGAATATTAACCAGCTTCCTTGTGCTTCTCTTCCCTCCAGGACTTTATCCCATGGTACTCTACCGAGCACATCCCTGATGCCAAAGACTGCTCTCCTGAGCCCAGGGTAGTGAGCTTGCTGTATGCTCTCCTCACTGACCTAAGGATCTTGAACTCTACAATGTCACGGTCACTGCAGCCAAGGCAGCTCTTGAGCTTCACAGAGAATTCACATTCCCTACCTGCCTCTCCCTGTTGGTGAGAACAAGGTCCAACATAACATCTCCTCCTTGGCTTCTCTATCACTTGGAGAAGGAAGTTACCGACACATTCCAGGAAGCTCCTTGATTGCTTATGCCCTGCGGTGTTGTCCCTCACACAAACATCAGGGTGGCTGAAGTCCCCCAAGAGGACCAGGGCTTGTGAATGTGAGCCTGCTCCTATCTGTCTATAAGGTCCCATCAATTTAAATAACTGCAAAACAAATACACCACAATAAGGGCAGAATATGGTTTATAACATTAATATTTTGTCTTCTGTTGTTATTACTAGCAGGTTTTGTTTGAATAATGTTTTTCTGTTCTTCAGTGTTACTATAAAGGCTCACAAAGAAGAGAGAAAACCTAGAGCCTACAGTAGCTGTTGAATACAGAAAGCAAACAGGACTTCCAACCCCAGGGAATTGCTATGCTCTTTAAGCATTTCTTCATAAATGTGTCCTCTACTGCAACTGCAGCTACGAAGACCGTTACCAACATCACTAAGAAATAACACTAGCACTTAATGTTAAACTGGTGCTGCAGGAGTGGGGCAAAGACTGAGTTATTGACATGGACTCCAGTGCCCTCAGCCTGGCATCCTTTTTTTACTGCAAATGCTCTTTATTCTGCTAGAGAGGAAACTAATCTCCAGGATTTGAGAAATAAATCACCAGTAAAGCTGGAGGAAAAAAAACTCCCTGAGCAACTTTCTTGCCAAAGGCATTGCGCCAAATTGATGACTAATAACAGTGACAGATGAAAGGACTTCTCTAAAAGTAGCCTTGGTCACCACTGATTATAAATAAGAAAAATACCTTTACTCTGTTCATAATAATTAACTAGATGTTCATGTCAATTCCAGGAAGACTGTGCAGGTGTGAATGGTAAGAAAATGGCAAGAAAAAGATGTTCCCTGCATGTATGCTAGCAGAGAAGATCAGAAAACAGAGAAGACAAGACTGATAATGAAAAAGAGTGAACTTGAACACCTCAATGGGATCACTCCTGCTGGGAAAAGCCAGTTAAGGCAGTAATATCTTTAAATCAGGGGGCTTAAAATCAAGTAGTGCAAATGCCTAAGCAGGTGACTAACTATAAGCCATATCTACTCCTTCTACCAAAACCACCAACCCATCAGAACCAGAAAGGCCCACAAGTTTCTTCTGAGACGATGGCCGTCAGGACTACCCCATACCACAGCTGCAGTGTTGAGAATAAGGTGCAGTCTGCTGCAAACAGCTGACAGTGCAAACAATACAGCGCACTTGCTAAACCTTATGTGTTGCTCCTGCAACTTAGGATTCTGTCATTTCAACCCCTGTTATTCTGTACATAAAAGATCAAACATTTACCAGACATGTTTGCCAAGGCAATCAGTTTAAAGTATAAAAGAAAAATGCAGCAAACGCAGGGTGCAGACCAAAACCTAATCAACAATCTCATCAAGACAACCAAAAGAGGACAAAGACAACCAGTAGATAAAGCAGGTATGTAACTTCCTCCATAATATGCCAAATGCATTTCCACAGAACAAAACTGACATATTCAGAGAGATATCTGGAGGGTTTCTTTTCAAGTTAAGCTCCTCTGTGACATCTGAGGTGTAGTGTTTCAACAAAATATCAAAAGGAAAGCAGTCAGATGATTAGGAAAAAAAATAGGCTTATGTATTATCATTAGCAAAACAGTGATGCCACTGAAAGCTAGTTTATTGACTCATATTGACCCAGAAACCTGAGTTGCTCAATCTTACTGAAACTGACCTCTAGAAAGATACCACCTTCACTGTAAAGGCTTGCTAAATCAGAGTCCTCCAGTACTGCCTGCTAAGAATATTCCCTTAGTAAAGCGATAAACTCTTCCCATGGGATCAGTGATCTTCAGGACTAAGTAGAAATACAAATTCCCTCAGGCTTATAACATGCAATACTTGATACTTGAAAGAAGAGGTATTTCTTACTACTTACTGTAGACATCTCACTTAAACTAGCAAAATACACAAAAGCCTCAATTCCCGACATGGTCACGGGAAAAATGGAGCACGTTCACATCATCTGACATGGTACATTAATGTAAATGAGGTGTTCTGCTCTGCAATGTGCCCCTACAACCAGAAACTGTGCACCTGGCCCCAACTGCCTGAGACACAGTCAGGTATTCCAGCTTTACTGAGCTAAAGCTACACTTCGAACTGGAATCAGCAACAAAAGGAAAGATGAACCACAAAAGGGAACACTGCTCATAGTGGTTTGCTGTAGTCAAAACGGGGTAGCATGCCACACAAATTGAGACATCCAGGGTATTTTCAAGGGCTGCATGTAGCACACACTCCTGTAATCCAGTCTCAAGGTTACAAATGGCACCACCTTCTAAAGTCTGCTAAACTTGTACTCTTGCGCAGCAGAAATAACAAAGGTTATGCTCTGTTAATACTACTACAGTAAAACAAGTTGGCAGAACAACAATTTCTGGACACATGCATGCATACTTGTGTATCCATGGGGGAATGAGAAGGATAGCGTGACCAGCAGGTCAAAGGAGGTGATCCTGACCCTCTACTCTACTCCTGTGAGAACTCACTTAGAGTATTGTATATAGTTTTTGTGCCCTTAACATAAAAAGGACATGGAACTGTTTGTACAAGTCCAGAGGAGGGCCACGAGGATGATCAGGGGACTGTAGCACCTCCTGTATGAAGACAGGCTGAGAAAGTTGGGGCTGTTCAGCCTGGAGAAGAGAAGCCTGCATGGAGACCTCATAGCAGCCTTCCAGTATGAAGAGGGCCTATAAGGATGCTGAAGAAGAACTCTTCGTTAGGGACGGTAGTGACAGGACAAGGGGTTAACAGGTTAAAACTTAAAACAGTGAAAGTTCAGACCGGATATAAGGAAGAAGTTCTTTACTGTAAAGGCGGTGAGGCACTGGAATGGGTTGCCCAAGGAAGTTGTGAATGTTCCATCACTGATGGTGTTCAAGGCTAGGTTGGACAAAGCCTTGGGTGACATGGTTTAGTGTGAGGTATCCGTGTCCATAGCAGGTGGGTTGGAACTAGATGACCTTAAGGTCCTTTCCAACCCTAACTTTTCTATGATTCTATGACAGTAATAGCTTGAAAAGGGCAGCGATGCTGGAAGAGAAATTTTTATCTTTCACACCTTTTGTACAGCTTTTTCTAACTATATAACTACCTCTCCACCCCTTCCTCTCCATGCCAGATATACATAGACAACTGAACTTACCTGATGCTGTGCCACAGCAAGGTGGTACCCACCAAGCTGAAGAGAAGATGCTTGTGATCACATCAGGAGGGAAGAGAGTAACGTTTCTCTGGATCTGAAGCAAGTTTAATACTAATGCAAGAAATACACCAATAAAAAACAGCACTATACCACGAATTACCAAATTCATGCCACGACTGGTTACAGATGAAATGTATGGGCCACACTTTTTTGGTAAGGTTGGCATTGCACCATTTTCTGCCATGATTTCTTATGTTCTTAGAGACATCCAACAGCCTGACTGAGGAGGGTTCACTTGCAATCAGTATTTTGACTCTTGTCAGTTAGGAGACACCCAAACCCTGAAAAATAATAAAAAAAGGTGAAAATGCAGGTAAGAAACATTAAATGTATTTCTCTTGAATAAACTGGAGATTTGGTTAAAAAAAATTACTATTATATTTTCCTGAATTTTCTGAGGAGGCAATTGGTCATTTTGAGAGCAGAACCAACCATAGCTGCTAAACTGCCTTAGAAGGAAAACAGGTTTTATGAATAGCTTTGTGTATGAGAGGGGCAGATGAGGAGGAAACATATGGGATGGGAGAGTTAGGAATGTGAAACCGCAGAGAAGAGGGGAAGAAATGAAACCAGTATCAGATGGAGGAAATGCTAGCTTTGCAGTAACAATAGTTTTTCTTCCTTCTTTAAAGAACAACTGGAAATTACACAATTCAGAAGCAAGTAAACACAGCCTTGAGTTTCAAGTCAGCCACAGAGGTTCACAGATCTCTCCCTGAAGAGATGCCACAAAGTATTTCTCAACTGGTAAGTGAAATCCGAGAAGTATTTTTCACGATGAAGTCAGAATTTCAGCAGTCCCGCAGCACACCCATTTTCATAACCCCAGATAAAAGTAAACAACTTGGCAAGCCAGGGAAGTTATCCCAGTACAGAAAAATGTTTACCAGAGTAAAACACTTTTCGTGAAAACTGCCACGTTATCACAAACCCTAACTGTAATCAGGGACAAAAGAACCTGAGAATAAGGGAAAAGGAGCTCCCTCTGCCCATGCACTAGGTAGCATCCTATATGAGTAACTGTGCCGGCACCACAGGAATGGCAGAGTTCACACCCCAATCACTCCTTTCTAAGAAATAACCTGTCCATTGAGTCTTGTTATACATGGATTCAGTGCCATACTCATGTAAACAACGGTTCTGATCGACAGCTTAGCCACCTGGAACTTAAGAAAAAAAGCCCTGACATTGTTTTCAAATTTGAAACTGACAACTGGTGAAGGCTTTTGTTAACTCTTATTTATGGCCCTACAGGGGCCCTTATGGCCAAGGGGAGCCAAAAAAGCACATCCATCTCCATTCCTCCCTGGCTTCAGCAGATCCTGAGGAAGCTCTCTGAAGGGGCAACAGCAGTACAGAGGACGCAGCATTCACTTCTGCTGATTGAAAACCAAAACGGAAGTTAAATACATGCAAGCTAGTTAAGATACTGCAGGTAACTGCACAGAAGATGCCATTCATCATTCAGAAAAAGTTTCAAGAGGCAAAACAAACAAACAAAGTTCTGATTACACGTAACTTTCCACAAGCAGTTTGGGGTCAGCAGAGTCCTCCTAAGAATACAGGATCTCTTCTACACAGCCAATTCTCCGTGTTATTTGTAATCATGAACATGTCTTGAGGGGAACGAGAGCAAGCACAGTATCTGGGTTCTTAGTCAGCTTCCTGACTCATCCCAAACAGATGTCTGCATTAAGGCTGGCACTGCACCACACTTCCCTCAAGCAAAAAGGTGCTGCTCCAGATTTGCCTTTTTTTTTTTTTCCCCTCCTCCGGATGGCAGGGCAGCAGAGCTTGGATAATACATTTAGCCTCCAGGAAAGAAAGCACAGAGTCACAAATACATCACTACTGCAGCTGAGAGACTCCCCTGTCCCTGGGAGCTTTTCCCACCAGATGATCACAGGAATTCCCAGAATTTACAGTAGTTTTACTATTTACAGTAGGGTGCATTGCAGACTGTAGGTCCCAATTACAAAATCTACAGGGGGGGGTTAAATGCTACTGTTACACCCCTTCTTAGCTTTATCTCACCTATGGAAACATGCTAAACTCTTGACTCTTCACTTATTAACTATCCCAAGAGCTCTGGCACTTGCTGAAGTCTGCACATTTGGGGGGGGCCCTTTTTTTTTAAATGCATGACAAGAGCTGTTATATACAATCCCAGGTTTGGCTCTCTCTGACTCGTACAATGAAGTTCACATTTTTGTGTCTCTCTTTAAATGAGCTTTTCTGTTGTGCACCAAGGACAATTTATGTTTCCACTGTCATAAAGTGGTGGCTCACATCATGTGATCCATTACTACATTCAAATCTCTTTTATTCCCTATAACCAAACTCCTTGTTCTTTGGTAGCAGCCCCAAGCCTCACATGCCAAATTTCAGCCCACAGGTATTATTTATTCTGACACTCAACATCACTCCATTTTTCCTGTAGGATACCTCAGTCCTCTTTGGTCCTACAGGCAGTTCCCAGCTTTGGATCATCAGCAAACATCACTACTGCATCCTGTTTTGTGCATGAAGATCAATTACAATACTGAGTGATATCAGCCCAAATCCCTCTCTCTGATGAAGTCTATTAATAATTTCCACACAGCCATTATTTCCCCATTTTACAGTATCTCTTGATCTCTCTTTGCTTCTTGTAATTCTTCAAATACAGTAATCACCAACAAGTAATGCAAAGTCCCAAGTTAGCATGATGCAATAGTTTCTGTCCTGTTTTTTTACCCTAGACATATTGTTCTTATCTGTTTTACCACAATTTCCAAATTTACTTCACTCATTCACTCTGAGACCTTCTCACATACCACAAACAGAGCAATGGGGGAACAGAGCAAGATGACTGACACTCACGTAGATTCTTCAGTGCCTCAGACTGCCAGTGTTCATGATGCCCAACACAACAAAGGTACTTACTACTGTCACCTTACCTGAAGACAGAAATTAACATCTCTAAAGAAGACGTAAAATGGTTTGGGTTGGAATGGACCTTAGAGATCACGTAGTTCCACCCTCCCTGCAATGTACAGGAATACCTTCCACTAGACCAGGTGGCTCAAGGCTCAGTCCAACCTGACCTTGAACACTGCCAGGAATGGGTCAGCCACAACTTCTCTGGGCAATATGTTCTAGTGCTTCGCCATCCTTACAGTAAAGGCTCTTTTAGTTTAAAGGCATCACATCACCTCCTTCTTCTGGACTGGAAAGTTAGAATGCCTGCACACAGTGGAGACCATCTCCCTCTGTCTTTAAGCTTGTATTTTACTGAGGGTTTCCACACAGATGGGAATAGTTCACATATTGAACCAACACTACTTCTGAGCCTTCATCTCTTGGGAATGCATACTCAAAACTGTAACACCACATTGAAAGCTACATGGTTGGCACTGTCACAAAGCCTCAGCTGCACTTCCCCTCCACGCTGGCCCACAGCTTGAACCCCAAGCTTTTTAACATACCACCAAGTGCATTATGTACCATTCGCAAGGCAACCACACGATGTCTGGCATTGCGCAAAACGTTAACAACTAAATTATGACCCTAGACACTTTCAAAACACTTAGTCACTTAACTGTCTTCTAATTAAAAGATCCGTCCTGCAAGCACTCCCCATGAACAGCCTTCTGTTGTGTGCGATTCACAACTTCTGACACAATACAGACACATTAGGAACAACAAAGTGTAGTGAAGGCCAAGAAAGAGAAGATTTATTTAAGCAACACCACGCAGGAAACGGCAAAACCGGTAAAATTACAAGAAACCATCTGTCTTCAGCGAGGAAAGGCCCAAAGCAAAATACCCCCCTTCTCCAGGTACCAGAAACTGCGGTTCTCCAGGCCGGCCTGCTCCGGATCCCCCGGTCTGAGAAGTCCGACATGCCCGGCCATCAAGCCGGTAGCTTCAAGCCAGCGCTAGCACCTCCAGCCCAGGCCCATTAAGCAACCCTGGCAAGGGGCCGCGGGCCCGTCCTCTCAGAGCCCAGCCCTCAGGCACCCGTATCAGCCCCGCCTGCCCGGGGTTTAACCACTGCCGAGGGGAAACGGCTCCCACCGTTCCCTCCTGCTGCGCACGGGCACAACAGGCAGCAGCCACCGCGACCTCGGCAACACCCCCAGCCGGACCGCCCGCTGCAGCTCAGCCGCGGCGGGGCCCGGCGTTATCCCCACCCCGAGGCAGGGCTCCGCCGGCGGCACTGCCAGGGGCTCGGCCTCCAGCAGGGAGGACAGGCCCGGGGGAAGCCGCTGTAGGCCCGGCTCATCTACGTTGCCTCAACACAGCCCTGGGGCCCTCGCGCCGGACCACCCTTTCCCTTCGCGCAGAGCCCACCGCAACCCCGAGACTCACTCGGCCTCCGCCATCTTCTCCCTCCCCGCGCCAATCCCCGCCCCGCGCAGCCTCCGCAGGCCCCGCCGAGCAGCTGACGGGGCAGCCGCGGGGCCGGGGGAGGTGCGGAGTCAGGCCTGGCCCGGCGGGCGTTTGTGCTGACGGCTGCGTCCCCACGTCCGGGTGTGGCTCCGTGAGCTCACACGGAACGCGCGGCGGGGCGAGTAGCGCCGGAAGGCGCTGGTAAGGAGCACCGTGGCGAGGGGTAGGTGGAGAGTCTGGCGGCAACTTCGTTGTGCGCCTGTTCAGTCTGCGCAGCGCTGCGCATCCTTTGGAAAGGGGCTGTTACCGGCATGAGAAAAAGGCATATGGCGATAGGTTTGTACATGGCTTGTGCTTCCACCGAGGCACGGTTTAGCTGTGTAGGGTTTTGCAGTATCCCTGCTAGACGGTTTGATCACAGAAACGGATGAAAAGAGCATGGTCTAGGAGTGTGATTGCCCACCTCCACGCCAAACCTCACGTGCAGTACTGTGTCAAGCTCTGAGGCCCCCACGATAAGGACATGGACCTGTTGGAACAAGTCCAGAGGGCCACAAGGATTATCAGAGGGCTGGAGCAACTGTCCTATAGACACAGGCTGACAGAACTGGGGTACAGCCTGGAGAGGAGAAGGCTCCAAGGAGACGTTAGAGTAGCTTCCAGTGCCTAAAGGGGCCTGCAAGAAATATGTGGAGTGACTTTTTACAAGGGCATGGAGGGGTAGGACAAGGGGGAATGGCTTTAAAGTGAAAGAGGGTGAATTTAGGGTAGATAAAAGGAAGCAAGTTCTTCACTGTGAGGGAGGTGAGGCACTGGAACAGGTTGCCCAGAGAAGTTGTGGATGCCCCATCCCTGGCAGTGTTCAAGGCCAGGTTGGATGGGCCTTTGAGCAACCTGGTCTAGTGGAAGGTGTACCTGCTCATGGCAGGGGGTTGGAACTGGGTGATCTTTAAGGTCCATTCCAACCCAAACCATTCTGTGGTTCTGTGATCTATAAAATACTTGTCTCCCACTTAAGCTGCTAACCTGGCTCCTCCTGAGACCTGGTGCTGTGAGGACTTTTGCATGTCCTTAGCTTTATCAATTGAGGCAAAAAGGAAACTCGAGAAAGTACATTTTCTTCACCAGCCTGTGGCCTCTTGGAGAATATACAGTATGAAGCAGAAAACAGTTTGCTTTAGCTTGTCTTAATGAGTAGTAAAGCAACACAATAAAAATATACCATTTATTGTATATATGGTGGGGCATAGGAGAATAGTGCTGTTATTTTCCTTTATAAACCATATATATTATAACATATTGATTATTATTCTATTACTGAACTTTTTCCTTTGCATGAATAATGAATAATAAAAATGAATAATGAATCATTTGAACGAAATAATGAAGACAGTTTATTAAAAACGTTTGCACACTGCACTTCGCCAAGTTTCGTATTTTATTGCAAAGACTTTGATAGAGCTTTCCATATTACAAAGTCTGAAGTAATTCAGTGCAGATCCTATTACAGTTCCCAGAATAATGATTGGATAGTATGGAATGTGTAACTGTATTTACTACAGTGGCGTCTTTAGTGATAACTGTGATTTCTTTGTGCTGGTGTGTTGTGAACAACAGTGTCACCAAACATGTATAAACTCAGAGGAGAGTATATGGACCTGTAATAGACATATTAAAAATGTACAAGGAAGAGATTTACAGCAGCAGAGATCCATTGTGGTTTAGATGAGCAGTAAATTTTAAAATCATTCAACTGGTTTGTGTCACACAGAAGCAAAGTCTTTTTATTCTTACTGAGCTGCTTGCCTTGTCTGTGGTTTAGATAGGTACTTTGCTGTACTTGAACTCAAATTTTGGGTCAACAAAGGCAAAAGGGTGTTTTCAAATAAATTAAAATAGCTTTCCCTAATGTCAGATAAATGCCTTTGGTCGGCCATATGCCCAAGGCAGAGCAAAGTGCCCTATCTCTTTATGCCTTAAAGACCAGAACAGTCAGTCTGAAAGCAGAAATTTTGTGAACATAAAGTGTATGCATGAGAGAGAAAATGTGACATAAGTAGATGAAGACTGAAAATGATTGCTGAATCTATCTTTCTTTAGACATGAGTATATATGGTAAAGTAAGTATTTGCCTACAGATACATTTGGATTAGTTACAGTCGGGTCTGCTGCTGTGCTTGGTACTGTAATAAGAGCTTAATTTGGTACTTACAAGAGCTTAACTCCTACAAAAAGTAAAATGACCATATGAGAAATATTAGCTGTATTAGTAGAGGCTAATATGTGAGAAAATAAATAACAGGTATTGGTGTAAGTGCAAATTCAGGACTTTATTAGCACTGCCAATTTACACTGGCTGAAGTCTCAGTGCTTGCATCCGTCTGGTTATCCTGCAGGGTACAATGACCTGTTGCACAAAAATGGGAGGAGCATGAGGGAAAAGCATTTGAAAACATACCTGAATCGGAAATTGCAAAATAAATACATCAGCAAATAGTTTTGCAGACAAAGGAGGCAGACATATGACCTGCAGAGAAATGTCACTTGCTCCAACTTTGACTGCAATTGCTATGAAACATCATGGGAGAAGCATCTTTTTTGGAAAGCAGTGTGGAGTCGTTCCATTGCACTAACTGCAGAATAGGCCACACAGAATGTTCTGGGTTTAGTTTTGGGACATAAATATTTGTTGGATATGGTAAATCTGGCAATGAAAAACTCAGCAAAGTTCATACAAAGCAGAGGAGCCTAGAGCAGCCACATGCATACGGAAAAAGTGAAATTCTTCACATGTCCATAACAGTTCCTTTTCTAAAGTATTTTTGTTAAGGTCTTAAAAGCTTCCTGATACATTGATTCAATGAGCCAAGGCCAGTCAGGTTAGCTGAAGGTTTTTCCATAGCAGGACAGTAAAGGAAGGGGGAGAAGATGATGGATAGCTGGAGAAAGGGAAGAAGAGGGAGAGAAGGAGGGAGGGATGGGAGAAAAACACAGTAAGAGAGCAGGTGGTGTTCCGTGACAAAATGACCAAGTGCTTCGGGAATTATGTGCATGTATAACTTGGGAAAAGCCTGTATGTATGACAAGAAAAAGCTGTCTGTAGAAGTCTGGAGCTGATTCCTAGTAGGGCTTCCAGAGTTTATATATATAAGGACAACATTAGGCCCAACATTACTGTTCTTTTTCTAAGCATGCTTTTAGCATGTGGAGTAGCGGGACAACCACAGAGTGCATTCAGTACAAAATGACCATCTGGGTAGGAGTCTTGTTCCCAGGAATTTTGCGAAGTTTGCTTTCTGTTGTTTGTATGATTAAATGTCAGTAGAGCTCTCCAAGCACAATCTACAGATCCTGAATATCTATGGCATCTCTTTAGCAGGAGTTGTGAAGAAGCCTGTTCGTGCACTGTGCTAAAGGACAGCCAATGAACAATAGGAGTTTCACAACAAGGAATGCCTGTCCCTTCCTTATTCCATTTCCCAAACAGCTATGTTAAGTACTGCTGTTATTTGGGGCCTATAGCTAGTATTGTAAAAAAAATAAAATAAAAAAATGTAAATTATAGAATTTTCTTCATTAAAATATTCTTCAGAAATACAAATCTCTTTCAAAGCCTTCTTAGAAGTTCTCCATGCATACAGAAGGCTTCTGGGAGGCCGTCAGAAATGAAGTATTATAGAACTGGGCATGTTTTCCACAAATGCCTTTTCTTTTATCAGCTGAGGCTACAGTCCTTACTCTTCTGCAGAAGGCATAGTAGCCATCCTAGTCAGCACACAGCTGGGTCACAGGCAAAGATCAGCATGGCTGACAAGTCCTGCAATTTATGAGGCGGGGTTGTGAGACAAGGGGGGGGCACGAAATTACAAAATGGTATATAGAAATCTTTAGAAGTAGCTTTAAATAGTGTTAAGTTTGATGGCTTTGTAACAGTAGCAATGGAAAATTGGACACTGTCTCATGGACAAATTTATGGGTGAACACTAGTAATCTGTATTCAAAGGAAAGTTTAAAATTTGGAATAGTTAATCCTAATGTAGATAACAAATATTATACCTGCGCACAAAGATGTATTACACCAGAAACCAGGGTAAGAAATTTTGCTTGTTTAAATGCCACAGATGTAGGTCACCATTCAAATTGCAATCATGCTATTACTATAGATGGTATCGTAGTTCAATGGTGGCCCGTTCCAAAAGGGAAAGGATGGTATTGGCTATGTGGAAAAAATGCTTATAAGACTCTACCCCCAACTGGAAGGGGGCATGCACCTTAGGTGCCGTAATACCCAATTTTACTATTATTGACAAGTACCCTTCTGGGACCTGGGTTAGAAGTTTTGCTAAACGGATTAAACGGGGGTTTAATCCTATTATTGAACGGCACACCGCATTTCATAGTTTTGTAAGAGGGCTAATTCCATCTTTGGGAGTAAGTGAATTAGAGAAGGCAATTGTAAATATCTCAGCAACTATAGAGGAAATGGAAAGCAAAAATATTGATATAATCCAGGCAGAACAACAAGAGATAACCAGCCTGTCAAAAGTAGTATTACAAAACCGAATGGCTTTAGACATGTTATTGGCATCACAAGGAGGGGTTTG